CGCTCCGCCGGCGGCGCAGCCCTGCCCCCTCCTGCCGGCGGGCGAAACTGCAGCGGACACCGAGGGGCGAGAAACCGGGGCGGTGGTGGCTTGCAGTGAAGTGGAGGTAGCTAGTTTTCAGGTGCTGGGCAGCCAGCACGGCGGTGCAGTGGGGTACCTTGCGAGGCTGCCGGGAGCAAGGGGATGCTTCAGTTACGAAAGTCGTCGTTTGGCAACAAAGGTGCTGATGCGTGCAGAATGCTAAGTTGTTTATCTCTTTATATATCGCTATTTTGTAAAGGAAAGTTAAGCATGTAGACTAATCTAGTGGTTTGTTGCCCTTCCAGACGCAGCTGGCAGTTGATTAACATTGTCTCTTCACTGCGTTTGTTCTTCTCGAAGGAAATTCCAGTGATTCAGAAGAAGACGACCAGAGTACCAGCAGCATAGAAAATCAGGCCATCCCAAACTCTCACAGGGTGCCAGATTCCAAGTCGCATCCACCACACATCAAAATAGATATCATCAGGAAAGTGCAAGCCAAAAATACGCAGCGCTATAAAGTGGAATATGATTCGCAGAGTACGGATACACTGAACTTCTCTTCTGAATCCAAACAAGAGACTGAATACGTAAGTACTTTTGTAAATGGAAAGGCATTTCCTAGCGTGTGAGTGTGCGTGTGCATGTGTATGTTGTGCATACGACAAGATAAATAAATAAACTAAATAACTAAATGGTGGTAATTGTTGTAGCCATTTAGGGCATTCTGGCTGTTTAACTAGTGGAACTACTGGATCTGCAAATGCAATCAGCAGACCAAGCAGATCACGTTCAGAAAACACGGAGGCCTAATGCAATGGCGTTTACATTGATACAAGTATGATTTTCATTAAGTCATTTCTTAGAGATCGAAAGTTCTTGTTCCCCCCTGTAATTATCACACATTTGTGTGAGTGGATTTGGGACAGGTTTAATAGTGTCGTAATTAAATTTGGTTGCAAACAGCATTATTGGGTTGCAATAATGGAAAAAAGATGTTTCACATTCAGTGTAGTGACACTGTGTTCACACTCCACAGCACAAATCAAGGGAGATAAACTTAGGCTGCGTTCAGGATTAGGATCTTGACTGATCAGTCATTGTTTGCATGACATGCTGAACATCGCCCCCACTTGCAGTCGTCATGTGGTGCTGCTGCCTAAATGCAAAGTCTCCCGGGCACGTGAGCTGCCATTGCTTCCTACTGACTGTGCCCAGTGGATTTGCAGGGCAGCCGGAGTGTGGTGAATCTGAGGGGAGAATAATTCCTCTTCCTGGACATCCTGGCTGATAACCTAGTGTTTATCCTTGTGCCTGTGCCAGATGGCCTAAAAAATATGTCTGGATATACTTTGGAGTTTCATCAAAACAGTTGTGGTGAAACCAGACATGGCTTCCTATCTGCAAAAGGTTTTGAAACCTGTATGAGGTGGAAAGTTGTGTCTGAAGAGAGTGTGGCCTCCAAGTTAACACAGCAAGGGTGGTGAAGCTGCATGTTTAGTTTGTCACTGATGTCTAGCCATCTAGCAAAAACACTTCAGTGTCTGCCTTCCAGTGTGTCCTCTTCCCAAAAACGTGAGGTAAACTGCCTACAGTAAAAGAATGAACTTTGGTAGCTCTGAGGAAATAGGGTCCTGGTCTTAACTAGGATGAACATTTCACTTACATGGTAGTTGGGCCCCATGAGCAAAGGCGCACTGACTTACCAAGGCTGCTGGTGTCTGTAAGAACCAGAAATAAGTCCATCGGGGACAGGTGCTTTTGTCAGCCAATGCCCTTCTAGCTGTGTCTGCATGTTAGCTTTTGATATTGATCTCTCTGACTTTGGAAGCCTGCTTCAAAATGAGAATTAAAAAAAAGCTGTTGGTCTTTTTGTAGGCCTAACTCGGGACCAAATCTTTGAACGTGTGTGATTTGCAGTCAGCGTGTCTGAGCAGTTTTGGTTTTTTAAGGAACTGCCAATAAGAGCAGCAATTTAAAATGCATGTTTAGAGCTTGTGAGATTGATACTGAAAGAAAACATATGAAAGCAGCAAGGAAGGTCTTTGCTAACCAAAAAAAAAAATTTTAAACTCCAGTAGAACTGTGGAGTCTGTATGCTTTCAGACACGCACATGAAAGGCACTTTACATGAGCAAACTATTAATATTACCACTTGAAAGTTTAAATGTCATTACTTCACTAATTAAAAATTGCACCAAATGCATCTTTGTGTTGATACAGCAACTTAAACATTTTAAACCCATGCAACCATGCAAAGGAATTTTTTTGGGTCTCTGCTGAAGAAGTGGGCTGCTGGACTGAGTCAGTAATGTGCCCAGACAGGAGTGTAGCTAAGCACAGAGTTTGTAGGCTGCAACTCTTGAATCCCGATCCCACTGCTGACACTGACTGCCTTCTTGGCCTCTGGCAAAATGTGAACTCCTCCGCCTCTGGTTTTCTGACTGTGGAGTGGGGCTCGTAATGCTTTACTCCCTATCCTGAGGGGCTGCAGTAAGAAATAATTAGTTGGTGGTTGAGACATGCTCTTAAAAGTGCTTCTGGAAGTTCTTTTTGGCTCATTGTCCTAGAGCTAATCCTCACTACATTGTTGTCAGCCTTTTGCACATGGAGAAAGTGAGGCAAAAAGTGACATACTTATCTAATGAGAATGTTGTGTGCAACCATTCCTTTGCATGACTGCATTCATTTGGTCCAGTTGAAATTGGGAATTGTTGTCCAAAGTTGCAGTATTTTTATATATATGTATACATTATGCCAAACTACTTCTTTTCAATTAAATCCATTTCATTTAAGCTCTCAAATCCAGCAGAATCACAAAAATCAAATGGCATTAGGGAAAATCTACCAAGTGGTGTATTTCCAGTTGCCTACCTTCTTCTTTTCCCACTTGGTGCAAGGCCAGCTTTTCCAAACCTAAGTTACGTTATATGTGATTGATTTACATACTGGTTAAGCCTTCCTGTAGGTATATGTGGCTGTGATTTCAACTGGAAACGCCAGTCTGTGCCTCAGCATAGCACAGGGCCTTCAGTGTTTAGAAATTGGTTTGTCCTGAATTGAAGCAGAAAGTCAGAATTTTATCTGTGAATGGTCTGCCTTTTGACATATCCAGCCATCCCTTTGTTTTAATGGATTTGTTTGGGTTTGTGCTTCTTGCCCTGTAAAGATTTATTAACTCTCGTGTGAAAGACAGCATTTGGGAATGAAGTTTCATCTGTGTTTTCTAAAACATGCTCGTTAACAGGGTCCCTGTCGTAGAGAAATGGAAGACACTTTAAACCACCTAAAGATCCTGAATGTCTTGAGTCCCAGGGGTTTTCATATTCCAAATTGTGACAAGAAGGGGTTCTACAAGAAAAAGCAAGTAAGTACAGAGTCTTGATCACTTCAATGAATGCACTTCACCTTTTCTGCATCTTTGCTGAAGGATCTTGCCAGCAAGGTGCATTATGTATCATTTTACAGGGGAACTAGTTCATTTCCAGTTTTAGGACCTGATCTGATAGTGCTGAACCTTGTCAAGTGGGGACAGTGTTTTTATTTTTTTTTGGTCATGACAACAGATTCATTTGAGAAACTTCATACCTAATCACACATGGGTTGGCTGGTGTCCTAGATACTAAAGCCCTCTGGTTTAAAAAAAGCAGTGCCTCTGTAATAACCCACAGAGCTAAATGTTGCAGTCACCATATGACTGCAATAGATCAATGCTTTGAATTGTAAATAGCTGCTTGAGAGTTCCTAGAAGAACTGCACTGGATCATATTACAAAAAGCAAGTTGAAAAAGGCATGTATCTGTCCTTTATGTGCCACACAGATCACTTCCAAAATCCAGGTCGTGTTATCGTGAAAGTGATATATCTAGGAGTTACTCTGCAGCAAGGATGGCTTCTCAGCCCTCTTTGGTTCTGGGGTTGTGACCTTTCTTGACAAATGCAGACCTGAACTGCAGGTATTTATGCTTTAGTTGTGTCGGGTTGAGCTACGGCAGCATTCTCCATTCAGTGTTGCCCTTGAAGCTCATTCAGGAACTTGGGGAAGTATAAGACGTGCCAGGTTCTTTGCTTAGTGTGCATATCCCATCTAATTCCAGTGTTTAGTTAGTGACCTGCGTCCAAATATGTTTCTTGGTATAATTCCAAAATTTCCTGAATTCAAAATTTCTTTAAGATTTTCCTCAAGGCAAACCCTCTGTAAGGACAGATTTTGTTTGTGGACCATCTTGTCTCTCCCATTTGGGTTTACACGAGTCAGCCTCTCTATCTCTGGTAACCAAAGGAGCGGCTGACTCTGTGTTACTAGCTAATGCAGTTCATTGGTTGGAAGTGAGAGGCCAAACTCCGACCAGGCAACCTTATTTTAGGAATGGTATCTTTCCATTTTTTGGCTTCCAGCTTTCTTAGAAACAGTCTTTCCCTTTCAGGTATTCCCTGGAGCTCTGCATTAAGCTGGCAGTGTCAGGTGGGGTGTTTGCAATAGGGGTGAGGTTTCCAGCCTTCCTTTCTGCCATCAGCCCAGCGTTGACTGTGGTGTTTGACCTTCGGTGCATGCTGCTGAGCTTGTCTACGCTCCCCAGCTTTTCCCGAGCAGGTGGTGGCAACTCCCAAGCAGGGACAGAGTTTCTTTTTGTTGTCTGGAGTTTTGAGAAGCCTGTGTCATTCATGTCCCACTGCGTGTAAACTAGCAGAGAGCAATGCTCACGTCTCGGTCTGCGTTTGTTCAGAAAATACGTGGGACTGCTATGTGGAGTGAGGCTAGGACTGTGTTTTGTGCCTGTGCCATAAAAGCATTTGCTTAGCTACTCTAGAACAGCACATCATTTAACTGCGTTCGAGGCACACAAGCATACTGTAGTCCTTTTCCTTCTCTAGGTATTACAGGAGACCGCAGATTGGTATTTACTTTGTTCAGTAGATCTTCCTTTCATCTGTCGTCAGACTCTGAGGTTTTTGCTTCATCAGCAAAAAGGTGGTGGTTTGCACACAGTCTCTGGCATGTGTATGTAGTAAATCAGATCCACAGTAAGCACGTATTAAAGTGCCTTACTTTAAAGGGTGACTGTACTTTAAAGTGCAGTCATAGTTCTGCCACTGAGGCAGAAAAAAAGGAAATGCAGAGGAAAAATAATAGGAAAGACAGATAATACACTTACCTAGTCTTTTGTCCTAGAAGTTGATTTATGAGAATAAGGTGTTGGTACAGACCAAAGACACGCTTCTGCCCTCTGTGTAGTGTCTGTGCTGCCTGGAGACTTTCAAACTGCTTTAGGAAAGGTTCCTGCGCTATGTGCAACAGCCCGTCCAGTCAGCAAACGTCGAGGATGAAGGGGCACTTTCATACCTGGCCAGCCTTGTCAAGCGCTGTGCCAATTTACACAGGTCCAGTAGTTTCAATGGTAGTTCGAGACAACTCGGGATCTTGTAGGAGATACCCACAATTGGAGCGCATGTGAGTAAATATTCTACATGAAATGCAGTTGGAGTGCTTCTCCTGTAAATAAACCTCAATCAACCCTGGGAACAGGCCTTCATAGGTCGAGCTTATAGAGGCAGGCTGCTTCTCACACAAACAACGTACAAACCAAAAATAATGTATTTGAGTTGCCCTTGTAGAATTAACTCTAGAAAAAAGCATCAGTTTGAGAAGTGAGTGAGTGCTGTCCAGACTGAATTCACTGTCCACAAGGCAATGCAACAATTGTGTTTGTTCGGTTTTCTCTTTGGAGCGTCAACATGTAGGTCTGATATTTTAGGCACCGTGAACAGGTGTCTAATCTCATTAACAGAATGCTGGGCTATTTTATTAATTTCCTTCATTGCTGCTATTATTAGCAGCATTCAATCTGTAATTCAATTATATTCTGTTGTGACAACAAAATTGAGAATAATACATTAGGAAATAGACAGTAAATCCATCAAAAAATGAGTGTGAACTAGGCCTTTTTAATTCCAGAAACAGCTGCCAAAACCACTGCCTAGGATGATAACGTAGATAGGTGTGTGGTGGTAGGAATCTGATAAATTATGATCACCCTGGAAACCGTTAAAACTCATTCAGGAGGCACTTCACGTGTTAGTTTATTCTGCCTTCCTGGTCACCTGCTCTTCCAGTCAAGTTGAAAGCAGTTACTTTTCAAGACATTTCTGGATATTTAGAAATTGACTTTTCAGGAACAACCATAGGGAGTAATTTGCATATGTGAAACAATTTTAAGAACATAAATTTATGTGTCAAGGTATAACATGAAAAATATTTCACACCTTGTGCTTATATATAAACTTTTTTAAAATTGGGCCTATTAAAATTTAGAATTCTTTGTCTTAATAAATCATACATGTAAGGTTGTACTGTTCAACTGTGGTATATAGGTATATTTGTGTGGAATAGGTTGATACAGGCACTTTTCTGCCTCAAGCATGGAAAAAAAGGTTTTGATGAAATTAGAATTATTATATGGGGCAATTACTAGAATTGCCCCATATTTGTGTACCGGAGCCAGATACTCACCTAAATGTGAGCTGGCATCGTTCCACTGAAAACAGAGCTGGGCTTGGCGGGAGCCAAAACGGCCCGAGGTATATATCAATGCTGTCTGCAGTCTGTTCCGGGAGACCACAGTTGTAGCTCCACGGAGACCTCTGGGCTGACCAGGAATTCAGTGGGATACCATATGCTTTGCTGTGCCCCACGAATGCCTCTGCGGCACTTCTTTGTGGAAGGGAGAGGGGCAGGTGGCATGGGAGCTGGCAGCTGGTGTTTCTATCAGAAGTAATTACTGGCTCCACCACTTGGGCAGTTTTCCAGCTTTTTGGACTTCTGAAGTCATACAGAAGAGCCGGGCAGAGCCTTGAAATGTATGTGGAGTACAAAATTCAGAAGAACGGATTTCCCCCCCCCCCCCCCCCGACCACCCACCCACTCTTTGCGCGCACTAA